AAACAGCTCTTACTGTTTATAAGAACAAAGGTAGAAGCATTAGAAAAATCGCATATGTCAGAAAACAAAGACGAAAGAAGAATTAGGGATGCCACTAAGCAAACAGCGGAACAAAGAAGAGGAACGGCACTGGGATTACTTCCCGCGCACAGGGTGTCAAAAGGCAGTGCGTATTTTGTAAGGATGCAAATCATGACACTAAATCTTGCAACAGTAATATGTCCACAGCTTTAAGTAAAAAATTATTAATAAAAGAAGGCCGTTATTTTAGATGTGCGTACCGAAACCACACTTCTAAATTTTGTAGGAGTCAGTGGGTTAAATGCGAGAAATGTGTGCTGTTTTCTCAGAGTGCCAGGCCACTTTCTCAACTTGGTGAATACCTACATATATATATAGTCGTTTGGCTGGAACTGCTCGGAGAAACTCCTTTCAATGGAATTTTAAATATTAAAGGTTGTTTGATGCGAGTCCAAAAGTACACATAGTACCAAAGAGAATAGGCTGCCATATTTAATTTTAAGGTACATTTGTCTACTTTTAGGTACAATTTTTTTCGGCAAATAAGTACAATTTGAAAATTTAATTCTTGTCCATATTGCGAAATTGTATTTTATGACCTCAGAAAATCGGTGAATGCTGTCAAATCGACGAAGGGTTAGCGCTCCGCTGATGGCGCCAACTATATTCTCTACATCGTGGCTTTGATATAAATACATATATGTGACCTGGTCTACGGAAAGGGAGCTTACGTGCGAAAACTAGTTTTCTGTGAAAAAGCTGTTAAAAGTAAGCAACTCGTTTCGTTTACTCGTTTCGTTTACTCGTTTTTACTCTTCTTTCTCTACATTTTTAGTACACTTCTAAGCAAGTTAGGATTTTTTGCTTTTCACCACGTGAAAAAGCATCTCATCTTCCATCCGAATCAACCAAAAAGTGAAAATTGATTTTTTGACACCTAAGCCCCCTTTCCGTAGACCAGGTCACATATACATACAACAAGCGTTGACAACAATTCGAGATAGAAAACTAACCCTAGGCGGGAAGTAACTGTTGTCTACCGTGTACACAGCTTGTAGAGTACGAGATAGATAAAAGTTGAGATTTCTCTATTTTGTCTCTAGCTAGAGTTAATATCTCCTAGAGTTGCTCTACCGTGTAAACTTAATTGAGAGAGGAGATTTTTATTTCAGCGAAACTCTCGAGAGATTTCTCTACCGTGTACACTTAGCTTAATGAGCAAGACATATAAAATAGATATATAAAAACAAGCAAGAAAGTCTAAGTTCGGGCGGAGCCGAACATTAAATACCCGGCGCAAGTATTAAATATATGTTTTCCACCTTTCCGAAAGCTACCGCTACATGATAAGCCGGGGTGTATACATTTTAAGTAAATTAGCGTCCTTAAATTTCGAAATATTGCAGTTTCAAGCATATCTGAAATTTACCGTTATATGAAAAGCGGCCTCAATTTTAGTCCGATTTCAACAATTTTCAACGGTTTGCTTTTATGTGGCAAGCACAATAACCATACCGAGCTTGGTACAAATTGCTAGAACGGTTAGCGAGATACATATATGTGATCGCAAGTGGGCGGTGCTACGCCCATTTTCCAAAATTTTGTCATAAACGTATTTCTTGGTAAAGAATTGTTGCAATCATCAATTTTGAATAAATTAGCTTCAATATTTACTGATTTATCGAAGATTTTGTATTTCTCGAAATTACCGTTATATGGGATGTGGGCGTGGTTATTGTCCGATTTTCGGCCAGTTGGTATGCTGTATCAGGACCAACAACTGTGCCAAGTTTGGAAGAAATTGGTGTAGCGGTTACCAAGATATACACATGTAACCATAAGTGGGCGTGGCTACGCCCATTTGCCAAAATTTTGTAATATTCTTATTTTTCGTCTAAAACTCATTGCAAATATCAATTTTGAGTGAATTATCTTCAGTAGTTACTAAAATATCGCAGTTTTCGTTTTTCTGAAAATTACCGTTATATGGGAGGTAGGCGTGGTTATTGTCCGATTTTTTAAATTTTCAGCCATTTAGTAAGCTGTACTAAGGCCAACAACTGTGCTAAGTTTGGAAGAAATTGGTGCAGCGGTTACCAAGATATACACATGTAACCATAAGTGGGCGTGGCTACGCCCATTTTCCAAAAATTTATAATATTCATGTTTTCCGTCTGAAACTCATTGTAAGTATCAATTTTGAGTGAATTAGCTTCAGTAGCTACTAAAATATCGCAGTTTTCGTATTTCTTAAAATTACCGTTATATGGGAGGTAGGCGTGGTTATTATCCGATTTCGCCCATTTTCAATACCATCTGTCCCACGCCCAAAAGAAGTTCACGTACCAAGTTTCGTTAAGATATCTCAATTTTTACTCGAGTTATCGTGTGCACAGACGGACGGACAGACAGTCACCGCTTAATCGATTTCTCTTTTCATTCTGATCATTTATGTATACATTTGTCTATATCTATCTCGATTCGTTTTGCCTGTTACAAACAACCGTTATGTGAACAAAGTTATAATACCCTTGTGCACAAGTGCGCTCGGGTATAAAAAACTATTAAGCCCGGGCAGACGTTGTCCTGCTACACACCGATACATAGGCAGGTTACTTGCATCGTAGATATTATGGGTCTTCACGCCGAAGCTTGGTACTCGGTAACTCGGTGTTCGGTAATTTTTTCCCATGTATTTTGTTTGCGTAACACTATTTTACGCTATTTTACACAAACAAAATACATTATTTTACACAAACAAAATACATTAGAAAAAATTACCGGACACCGAGTTACCGAATACCGAGCTCGGTGTGAAGACCCATATTGTTTCTTACGTTTCATTTGATATCGAAATTTACAAGATATTGTTATTATTGTTCACTAGATTTGAAAAAAAAAGATCTCTGGTTACGGTTCAAACATCAGCCAGGGGAATGGATAACATTGGATGGTGTCCAAACGGTAAATTTTTTGTTGCTGTTGATGTGCGCATGTTTATATGTATAAATACATACTACATAATTTTGTTGCTATCCTACCTATTTCTCCCCAGTTTTGAATTCGAGCGTAAACGAACACAGAGACACGGGATTTTTATATATCGGAAGGTCCACCATGACAAAAAAATAAGTCTTATATCTAACGGGCCGATTTGTCTGCTTTTTAGAATATATACTGGCTATGTAAGTAGAATCATGTTGGTGGCGCCAAGGTTGAGATATTTCGAAAAACCGTATGTATGGTCCGATTTGGTTCGAATTTGGCGTATGTGGTTGAAACATAATAAGTCATAGATTTCCAACAAATTCACCCTGAATTGGCGCTGAAGTCAAAATATAAAGTATATTCTACATAAAATACATGTTTTATTTGCGCTAAAAATTCATTTAAAAGCAATATTAACAAAAATATAACGACGGAAATTTATGTCACGTGATGCTACGTCATTAATTCAAAAAACTCTAAAAACAACTAGAATTGCTTAAAATCATTAAAATAAGTTTCATGAAAATAGCCATCCACAATTCGCAGTTTTGCGATTTTGTAAGAAAAGAAAAAATCTACTTCCATTTTTTGTCACGTAACGACACTCCGTTTAAATGCTTATATTTCAGGACCAAGCAGTTCGATTGTTTTAATTTTTCGGTTAAATATAGAGCTAATTATGTGCTATACAATGGCCCAAAAAAGTTAAAGAAAACAAATGGTATTCCTTGTTTGTATCACATTGAAACGTACGACTGTCGCGTATGCGACGTATGGAAATACCCATATTAAGATAAGCACGTTGAGAGGAGCATAGAAAAAATTTCGATGAAAAAAAAATATTTTTTCTCGAATTCAAAACTATCCTATCTTTTAAGTCGGAACCTACAATACACACCCACAAAAATTTCATTGAAATCGGTTAAGCGGTTTCGGAGATTAGCGTAAACGAACGCAGTGACACGGGATTTTTATATATTAAGATATTAATTATGAGAGAAATATACTGGTCAAGAAAGGAGTTTCTATTGTTGCTATCAGTGAAAATTACAAATCCCGAGATTTTCGAGACCTAAAAACGGCCGGGATCCGGGGATTAACATTCCTAGTATGTATATTAGAACACACAGCCCATCCTTATGTACATAGATAAATAGCATAGGGCTTGGGCATCGCCGCACTACCCTAAGCCAAAGAAGCAAATTTTGTGCATACTCGAGTTGAAACTCGAGCACTCGAACCCAATCAAATATTGTTCGTCTTGAGCTCAGTCGCTAAAGAACAATACATCTGCTTGTTTAAAGAGACTGATGCAAAACGGGTTTTGTCAGCTGCTCGAGTATACGCAAAAATTATGCACCCGTTGCATATGTTGCACCCGTTGATATGTACGAGAGAAATAGAGTGAGCCATGTCTGTCTGGCCTTTCGTCAGCATGATAACTCGATTAAAAATTAAGGTATCGCAACGAAATTTAGTTCCTAGGTTAATTTTTGCCTAAGGAAGGTTGGTATTGAAAATGGGCGAAACCGGCGCACGAACTCGTAATATGTGTCTGTTTTGCATCTCTGAAAATTTTCTACATTTTCTATAGCTTTAACTAAGACGTGGTTAAAATAATAAAAAATTGCAATAATTTTCAAAGATGCGCAAAGAAACTAAATATTTCACTGAGCGAATTTTTTAAAAAACATTTTAAATTCCTTATTCTTTTGTTTAGAATACATATTGTTCCAGTAATCGCAAGGAGCAGTCAATGAAACAGTACTTCAAAGAATTTAAAAAGGTTATTCAGAATGCTGATGTTATTTTGGAGGTAGTTGATGCTCGCGATCCAATTGGAACTAGATGCAGCGAGGTTGAACATGCCGTTCGTTCAGCACATGGTAATAAGAGGCTGGTATTAATATTAAATAAAGCCGATTTAGTGCCGCGTGAAAATCTTAACGACTGGATAAAGTATTTTCGGCGCCTTGGTCCAGTAACTGCTTTTAAAGCCTCAACTCAGGATCAGTCTTCAAAGCTAGGACGTCGAAAGCTGAAGCAAACGAATACAGCAAAGGCCATGCAGGGTTCTGTGTGTGTAGGAGCCGAATTGCTTATGTCAATGCTTGGAAACTACTGTCGAAATAAAGGAATTAAAACGTCAATTCGGGTCGGTGTTGTTGGCATACCCAACGTAGGAAAGAGTTCCATAATAAATTCGCTGACTCGGGGAAAAACTTGTTCCGTTGGCTGCACTCCAGGTGTTACGAAGTAAGTAAAAATCAAGGTTGCATCTACATTTAAATAAAAAATCACGTTTTAGGGTAATGCAGGAGGTCGAACTTGATTCCAAGATAAAACTTATTGATTGTCCAGGAATCGTATTAACAAATTCTGGAAAAGTAAATTCAGAGGCAGTAGTTTTAAAGAATGCTCAACGTGTTGGCGACCTTAAGGACCCTTTTACGGTTGCTGAAAGTGTTCTTAAGCGTGCTAGTAAAAATTACTTCTGCAGGCTTTATGATATAACCGAATATGATAGTTTTGAAGAATTTTTCGCGAAAAAAGCAGCCCGTATGGGTAAGTAAATATAATTTTTATCTTCCAACCAAGACACGCATCTACGTACATTAAACTGCATCACTCCCCATACAAACAAAAAATCGGTGCTGTTTTTCCATTGGAATTAAAAAATCTATTATATTTTAAGACGTCCACCAAAATATTTCGGAAAAATATTAAGATTTAAGCGAGCTGGACCGATTTGAAAATACCTGCAAAAATGGAGTTTCTCATGAATAAAAATAGTTAAAGATTTTTTTTTTTTGAAAAAATCCCCTCAAATGACAAAACGGTTCAAGCTTAAAAAATTTACATAAAAATATTAAAAAAATTTTTGAACGGAATCGTAATAATGAGATTTTTGGTGCTGTTTTTTAACTTGTTTCAAAGATTGGTATAAGAAAAACTTGATTAACTGAATCTAAACTCTTCCGATTTAGACTTGTGAGGTATCTTTGGAAAGGTATTTTCTCACCCTTTTTATATCTTTGCTAATAATCTCATTCAAAGGATGAAAGAGAAAGGTAGGATGAACGAACATCATTCAAAGTTGAATAAGATGATTCGAATGACTTTTTTGCACATAAATAAAAATATTAGGAAAATACCATTCTACCGTGATCGCATAAGTCTAAATCGGAATAGTTTTGGCCCAGTTATTTAAGTTTTTCGTAAATCAATCTTTGAAAAAAGTAAAAAAACAGCTTCAAAAATCTCATTATAACGATTCCGTTGAAAAGATTTTTAAATATGTTTTTGCAGATTTTTTAAGCCTAATCTGTTTTGTCATCTGTGGGGACTTTTATCAAAAAAGTTCTTTAAGAAACTATTTATATTAATAAAAAACTCCATTTTGGAGGGATTTTCAACTCGGTCCAGCTCGCTTAAATCTTAATATTTTACCGAAAATTTTGGTGGACGTCTTAAAATATAGTAAATTTTTGTAATCCCGGCGGAAAAACCGATTTTTTTTGGTGATGCAGTCTAACGTACATATGTATGTATGTTCAAAATAATACAAAATTCAGAATGATATCGTTTGTTACTTATGTTTATTTATTTATTTTTAAGAATTTTCATTTAAAATATAGTTCGATCAATAACAGAAACCACATAAATAAAAGTTTTAAAGCTTGCACAAAGTTCACAAAAATTAATCAAACTTCAAAAAATTGTTTATTGTAATTTCAAACTTTGTATTAAGAAAATTTTCGAGTATGCAGTTTTGTAGCCCATTCAATTTTAGTACAATAAAGTGCAAATTACAGGTCGGTAAAAAATAACGTTGATTTTTTTATTTTAATTTTTTTTTTTTGTGGAGGGGTCTGCGCATTTTCTTCCATCTAAAATAGATTGTGATCATGCGTTATTTATTTTTATTGGTGAGATATGTATGTATATTTTAGAATCTTTAGCAAGTTGCATGAAAAACCAAAAATGAATTAATTTAAAATTAAACTTTTACTTAAAAATCCAACGCCATCAGTTAAAATTACCTCTAAATAGACTAGGTAATTTGAATTCAACGCAAGAAATACTCGGCAATACTAAGAAAGAATAAAGAAGCAATTTTCTCGGAACATTTTTATGATTGAATTTTTTTATTCAGGGCTATCATAGAATCCATCGTAGCTTCGTTTTTCGTGAAATCTACGAAAGGGCTATCACAGAATCCGAATGGCTACGAACGTAAATTCGAAATTCGTAGAAAGCCTTCATTGAATCCGTTCGTAATGAAGATTCGTACAGATAGGCTGACTTCCAAAACGTCAATTGCTTTGCATACGTACAAAGTATAATGTTCCATAACGCCGAACTACCAAATGTGGACGATGTATACTTTACCAAAACGCATCCGAAAATGTATCGAAACGCACCGCCAGTGCAATCAGCGCATCAGAAACAAAGTTGATGCTTCGTTTGTTATTGGTTACCATTGGTGTTTTAAAAATGGAAAATTCAGAAAAAATGTTCATTGCTATATTGAGTATTTAAAATATGCAATGTATATGGTTGCAATGTGTCGCAACTCTGCATATACAAACAGTTTGAATACCGCATTATAACAGTTTCCAAACAATATATTGATACGTTTTGGAAGTCAGTCAAACTCTACGACGAGTTTATGCTGTCGGAAAAAAAATCACTGAATCTTAAAAATAATGCAAAAAAGCTGCAGTATTGTTAATAAACATTTATTATAGTCCAAATTTGTTATAGTTTGATATAATTTCATATATTTATGTAAACGTAGACGTCAAATACCAATGCCATACATACATATGAACATATGTATGTATGTACATAAGGCTGGTCCAAACATGCATGTGAAAAAGTAAAGTCGGAATTTTTATGCTCTCAACCCCTAGGATTGTTTTATACCGGAAAAAATTATACCCTTTTTTTGCAATCAAAAAATATTTAGAGGTCGCTCAAAGCGCTCACAATTTTTCATGGAAAAATGAAATGTTGTTTTTTCCCATATAAAAATACATGGAAAACTTTTAGCGATTTGAGCGACCCCTAAATATTTTTAGATTTCAAAATAAAAAAATAGGGGTACAATTTTTTCCGATATCGAACAATCCTAGGGGGTGAGAGCATTACAATTCCGACATTACTGTTTTTGGACCACCCTAATGCAGATACATACATTCATCTGCTAGACGCTATTTAATGAATGAATATTTTTTACGATATTACTTTTTGTTACTAAGGCGATAAAGTATACAATTATATTCAACAATATTTATTGAGCTTGAGGCCGTTTTTTTAATGAAAACTTATTGTGGAAAAGCAACAATAATTTGAAAAAAATGGTAGAAGTGATAGCTATTTCAGAAATCACCACATTTCCTCATCAGACTTCTTTCAGTTGGATTCGAACCGACCATCCCACTGACTTAGCCAGTTGCCTACGCACTGTGCTAAGTTCGCCTTGTGAATTATTGTTGCTTTTTTTCCACTTTTTCATATTTGTTAAGCCAACACAATCAAGCGCAGCTATTCCGCTGCACTTCACACTTGATCATGTGGTTGTTGGTTTTGTTGGGTTTTCGTTAATAATTCTATTTTTAGAATGTTTAACTTTTTGGTATGCTCGTCCTTAAGTTATTTGTTTTTGTTATTTTATGGCCTTATAACAATTATATTCAACAATTTTTATTGAGCTCGGTGCCGTTTTTATATGAAAAACCTTTGTGGACAAGCAACAATAATTTTTATATTTAAAAAAATGGTAGAAGTGATAGCTATTTCGGAAATCACCACATTTCCTCATCAGACTTCTTTCAGTAGGATTCGAACCGACGATCCCATTGACTCAGCCAGTTGCTTACGCTCTGTGCTAAGTTTGCCTTGTTAATTCTTGTTGCTTTTTCCACTATTTCACTTGTTAAGCCAGCTACAATCAAGCGCAGCTATTACGCTGCAATTCACTTGGTCATGTGGTTGTTGGTTTTTGTTAATATTTCTATTATTTGAATGTTTAACTTTTAGGTGTGCTCGTCCTTAAGTTATTTGTTTTTGTTACTTTATGGCCTTATAGCAACTATATTCAAAAATTTGTATTGAGCTTGAGGCCGTTTTTTTAATGAAAACTTATTGTGGAAAAGCAACAATAATTTGGAAAAAATGGTAGAACTAATAGCTATTTCGGAAATCACCACATTTCCTCATCAGACTTGTTTCAGTAGGATTCGAACCGACGATCCCACTGACTCAGCCAGTTGCCTATGCACCGTGCTAAGTACGCCTTGTAAATTATCGTTTGCTTATGTCCACTATTTTCATTTTTGTTATGCCAACACAATCAAGCGCAGCTATTCCGCTGCAATTCACTTGATCATGTGGTTGTTGGTATTGTTGGTTTGTGCTAATAATTCTATTTTAGAATGCTTAACTTTTAGGTGTGCTCGTCCTTAAGTTATTTGTTTTTTGTTATTTTTATGGCCTTTATAACAATTATATTCAACAATTTTTATGAGCTCGAGGCCACAACCTTTTTTGCTTTTCCACAATAAGTTTTGATTAAAAAAACGGCCTCAAGCTCAATAAAAATTGTTGAATATTATTTTTTATGAAGCGAGTAAATAATAGTTCAACAACAATTTATTAGGAAAGAAACGTAATTACTTTAATATCATAAAAATAAACTAAAAAAATTGTTTTCCCTTTAAAAGAAGAAAATCTAAACTAAAAAAATTAAATAAATAAAGAAAAAAAGCCCCGCTGCCCGACGACTCGGATTCGAACTTGCATCTCTCGATTGGCAGTTTAGTGCTTTGCTCACTCGCCCATCGCCACTGCTGGGGCAGCGTGAGCAAAACGGCATACATAAATGTCTATTGTTTCCTCTGCACTAGCTGATTTCGAACCAGCATTCAAAGTGGCAACGATATTTTCGAGTTCACTCGGATTCAGTGATAGCAATTTTTTCGTATTCGTAGTAGGCATTCGAATTCGCAAATTTTCTACGATGGATTCGGTGATAGCCCTGTTTATTATTTTTCGTAGCTAAGTACCTAATACCTACTCTAATTGCTTATTACTTTTTAAGGGGAAACCCGTCGCAGGCCTGTTTTTTAAGTAACGTGATGACATGCATATTTTAGGTATTCTTAACATGTTCATGAAAGAAACAAAAACTAGTTTAAAAATAATAAAAAAAATTTACATAAAAACAACAGTTTTAGTTAAAATTACCATTAACGACTGAAAGATCTGAAAGACGTGGAAATTTGATATTAGCACTAGTAATACGTGGTAGCATTAAGGAAAATTAATAACTAATTTTATCGGAAAATTGCACACCCGAAAGCTGGTTTGAGTACGAATGTGTTTGTTCGATCACCCTCGCTAAAAATTGATCACAAGCTAAAACACATTCGGACACCCGCAACTAACCCGAAATTTGTGTAACTAATAAATAGGGTTCGAACGATACTATCGATATTGAGTAAGCATCGATACTGAGGGTCCTTATTTGGTTATTTTGCTCGATACTTTGCAAAGTACTC